TTTTTTTTTTTTTTTTTTTTTATGTTTGTATAACTGATATTCTAAATATATTTCTTTTTTCATATCTTTCGCTGCAGCCGATTGAGCTTTGGACTGGTAAACAATTGTTCAGTGTTCTATTGCGTCCCCATGCCAGAATGAGAGTATACGTAAATCTCACTTTAGCAGAAAAGAGTTATGGGAAGTCAAAAGAGACAATGTGCCCTAATGATGGTTTTGTTTATATTCGTAACAGTGAGCTAATCAGTGGGCAACTTGGAAAGGCTACATTAGGTCAGTTTCTTTTCTATTGTATTGCTATTTATCATAATGAAGAAATGACTGAAACATTCATGAATAGACAAATATATTATGGAAAGCAAATTGATGAACAATGAGATGGTTGGTAATTTGCTTGTTTCTTGAGACCTGAAGTATAATCAAATGATTCAGTTTCGATAGGCATGCCATTCAGAATAACTTACTGCCAGTATTTAGTCCTTCCATGTCACTTAATCCTGAAGCTGGTGACTCAGCCTTCACTGCTAATAAATCTGGTGACTCTATTAGCCACTGTTGCTGGAAAGGGATATGGAATTAATTGAGTCATCAAATGTTGAGCGTGTGAAGTCATCCTGTGCATATGACATCGATCATTTTCCATTTGTTTACGAAATTATTTATTTTTAAAATTTGCTTTCCTAGCTTTATCATTTATTTAAACAGATATTTTCTACTTGGTTACAGCATATGACTTGTGTTTTTTCCAAATGTTTCCTAAAGTATATTCTCATCATTCTATTTGTGATGTCTTTCTCTAAGAGGTACTTAAGATAGTCCAAATATCTGTAGTGTTGTCTCATAAAAAAATTGTATGGACTCTTTGCTAATTAGGCATCAAAGATGCGTCACATGAATGCTAGTTTGCTTCTTCATATTTCTTAAAAATGGCACCAAGGAGCTAGAAACGGTTTATTATTACCTTTATGGTGTCAGCTGGCATGCTTATTTGTCCATTATAAAACAGGAAACGGGAACAAGGATGGACTTTACTCCGTCCTTCTCAGGGATTACAATGCACATTCTGCTGCTGCTTGCATGAATCGCTTGGCAAAGTTAAGGTGAGATCATAGCTGATTCAGTCACCTTAATCCAGTGCTTTCTTATTATTCCGAATATTTGAGGTGTACGAGTCTCTTTTTGACTGAGGACTCTACTCTAGGTGCCATACACAGCTATTTTCATTCCCTGTCTGTTATGTGTGCGAGTCACCTATGATTTTCTTTGTTTCAGACCATAAATGGACTGTTAAAACTTTCGAAAAAGTTGCTATTTTTTTTTTTTTTTTTCTTACACTAATTGTGACATGTTTTGCATAGACCCTAGTCACTGGGTGAAGTGTGATGGACCCTGGAATGCTAGTAACTGATGCCCATTGCTCAACTGAAATTAGCAGCTCTATATTAAGCTACATAACAGAATCCCTGGAAGCATGATAAGTAGTACTTCAGTTGTAGAATACAAGAAATACATCAAAGGTGTAAAATGCTTGAGCGCCTTAAAAGTGAACAAACTTTCTGTGGCTGTTTCACAAACAATTTTCTATCCAATTATATCCGTGACAGTAGTTTTTAACCATGGTGAACACCAAAGGACTGGTCTGTTCTATAGAAAATGATTGCAAATATGGTCTCTAGCAAGCAGGTTGATATTGAGTGAGTTTACTCTTGATTACAATATATAAATCCAGTACCTTGTCGCACATCACCGGGAAAGAAGAAAGCCGTTTGACATTGTTCTCAATCAGGTAGCCAAACTTGGTAAATTGTGCAGTTGTTAATAAAGAAAAATCTATATCCATCATTTTTTTTTTCGTGGCAATAGAAAGCAGTAATTGATCATACATTAATCAATGCTTCAAAATTTTCAGACACTAGGTGAATGGCTAACCATCAAAGTTTGTGGAATATCGGTACTAAAAGTGGAACCAAATATATAATCTGAAGCTGTCCCTTTTAAATAGGGAAATGGGTTTAGGCTGCTATTTGGTATGCTTTCATTTTGCTAATCCTTTCCACCGGTGGCGACTAAAATTTTGCTGGGAGCAAAATGATGATTTTATAATGTGTTTGGACTTCGGATGTGAGATGAAAAATGTAATGATTAAAGATATGTCATTTAAAATAGTAAGATAATGATTGAAAATGATTGGTAGTTACATCTATGTAAGTGGGTGAATATTTGATTTTTCTGAAGAATGGTGTAGTAATTATTAATTCTTTTTTGAAGATTGTGATGCTAAGATTGACTAAAGAAAGTAAGAATGGGTTATTTGATTTATTTCTGCCGTAGATTGAAATGATTGAGATTGATGATTTCTTTTGTAAATATATGTTCTTAAGTCGTGTTACTTTAGGAAAAATAAAGATGCGGGGAAATTTAGTTTTGATTGGTTTTACTGTTGTAGTGCTCGATGGATTGGAAATCATGGATTCTCGATTGGAATTGATGATGTTCAACCTGGTGTTGAATTAAACAAGGAAAAGAAGGCGACAATTGAAAAGGAGTATGCCCAATGTACAGAGTATATTAAAAGTTATAATTCCGGAAGTCTAGAGCTACTACCAGGATGCAATAATGCTGAGACGCTGGAGGCCAAGATATCTGGAACCCTGAATGATATTCGAGAATCAACTGCCCAAGTAAGAGGCTCTGTGTTTTTTCAGTTCTAAGACTTTTTTATTTTTTGATGATATCTTAAAATTTTTCTCACTGGTTGCTCTAAGATGAGTCTACTAGATATTATCCTGCTCTGTGAGTCAATTAGGTAGTTGCAGTCTTTAGAAATTCAGCTCATGAATTGTGGTAATACCATAATAGTTAGTAGCTTTTGTCCAGTATCTCATGCTTATGAATTCTCTGTATCCATAGCTTCAGAAAGTCAGTTTTTCCAGTGTTATGTATCTTTCAAGCATAAGCCCTCTTTATAAAAGGGTTGTCCAAGACTACTCTAGTTTGTTATTAAACCCAAACTATATAATCTCCATATGATTGTTTTTCGTTTTCGTTTTTTAAGATGGATGATTGTATATAATTGTGACATTCTTATGGATGCGGTTGCAATTTTTTTTTTCAGGTTTGTATGAAGAATCTAAATTGGAGGAATAGCCCCCTAATTATGTCGAAATGTGGTTCCAAAGGGTCTCCAATCAACATTTGCCAGATGATTGCATGCGTTGGTCAGCAAATTGTTGGAGGTCATAGAGCTCCCAATGGATTTGTTGATCGAACCTTGCCTCATTTTGAAAGAGGAGCTAAGGGCCCTGATGTATGTTGCTCTAATTTATTCTCCCTCCGTTTTTTATTAATTGTCGTTTGAGAGTACATTTTATTTTTTGCTTATTAATTGTCATTTTGGATAACCTTGAATTAATTAGTTGATAAATATCTCAATCCTAAAATTATGTAGGTTTTTTTTAATGCTACGTATCTTTATCTAATAACGAGAAAGAAAATTAAAAAGGTATTTAAATAAGATTTAGAAAAATCTAATAGAATGAAAAGATAACTAATTCCTTCAAATACGTAATTGTGTTCTTTTAAGCTAGAGTGACAATAATTTAAAACAAAGGGAGTATTCTTTATTTATTTTGGGTAATCATTATGTGTGCTTGTGGTTATACTGTTATATTCAGTTTGGTGGTTATACTGTTACTTTCAAGATGAATATTCTTTTTCTTTGTTCTTTAAATGTTCTAATTCAAATATAATCATATATGGTATTGATCTCGAAAAAATATCCTGCCACTATCAACTTCACAACTTACTATATTCGTATGATTCTGATATTTTTTTCTTTTTTCAAGAAACAGACAGAAACATAACTTGTATTTTATTAATATTTGATTAACATATTCTTGTGCTTTAAGTTCACTGAAAACTACTTGAACAATGGTATCTTGATTTCTACAACAAAAATTTATTATCAGTTCATTTACCCATAAAACAATCTGTCTTCTAAAACCAAGACTGATGTAGGAAAGCGTACGAATGAGACGATATTAATGAGATCGTAATCTAAAAAAGCACCTAAACACGATATAAAATCATCTTTTATTCATAATCAACCAAGGAAAATAAACTAGAGGGAGTCCTTTATCCTAACCCTAAACCTCAACTTGTCCACCAAGCCACTAAATAATTATAATAATATTAAATGCTAATAATAATAATAATAATGATAGTCTACACCAAACACCAAAACAACTAACTTATCAATAGAAATACTCCGAGTGAAGATTGTCAATAATATCTAGCTATAAAAGGAAAACTGTTTTCCTGTTTCTGAAAGCAAAATTTCAAATGCTATCTTCTTATAGATTCAAGTGCTTCATTTACTTTCATGGTGGTTGGATGTGCAATGACCCTATTAAGCTGACATCATAGCTTCTATTATGTTTTTCATGCATTTTAATCTAAACTTGTCCTAGTTAAACACTTTCTGCGTGCATGGTCATGATATGTGGACTAAAGCTTCAGTCATGGATTAGTGGTATAAGAAAATCTGGCTCATAACTGCAATTGCCAGTTTTTATGCTGCTTCCTATCATCTCTATTTGTTGTAAGAACTCTAAATGTTTGGTACCAAATTTGTTAGTTTGATCTGTATAAATCAGGGTATAAATAGATCTCAGTATTTGATTGTCAAGCATGTTCTCTGACAAGGTCCATTTATATTTTTTATCATATTATTGTGCACTCAAATTATGCTGATTATAGTACTTGTTATCTTACCTGAATTAGTTATTTTTGGTAAATTAATTAACTCTTAACTGAAATAAGTTTATACCACAAACGTTCTTAATGCATATTCGTATTTGGGTTCAGGCAAAAGGTTTCGTTCAGAATTCCTTTTATACTGGTTTATCTGCTACTGAATTTTTTTTCCACACCATGGGGGGAAGAGAAGGCCTCGTTGATACAGCGGTATGCTTTATTTCTTTTGTTTGTACATTTTGTTATATAGAAGTATCAATTGTTTATTTTTCTTCCACAGTTATCTTCATTGTCTACTGAGCTTTTGTGCAAGTGAACATTTTAACTTCAATCGCTGCTTGGTAACACCACTCACCTTGCTATAATTAAGCTTGAGAGTAAATGAACAATTTAACTGAATCACTTGCTTTCTCTCCGGTCCACCTTCACATACTCAGCGGTTTGTAGTTCTTTTCTCATGTTCTTTATAGTATGCGGATCAGCGGTCGCCAGGGAGTTCTCTTTCCCTTTTTTGTTGGTTATGAGATTGTTTGGGTTTCTTTTGGGATTTAAACATATGAAAGTTGTACGAGCTTGGTTTTCGAAGAGTCGGTAAAAAGTTGATGAAAGAATCTTTCTCGTAGTCATGGATTGATCATATGTTAAAACTTAAAAGGAAGTATCAAGTTGCTAGTTCATTTCTTAGGCACTGGCTTGTCATACTCAATAAATATGTGAGTTGATAATAGATGCAGGGCACCCAACAAATTTGCAGCATAACTCAATTGGGTCATGTACTAGGTATGAACTTGAAAATATTTTTCTTGAAAGTCGAGCATCTACTTAAATATATTAAAAGAAATAAAAGTTTACACTGTATTTTTCATGGAAATCTACAGAAATATTGTTAAGAGTAATAACTGTTAGCACTAGCTTATGAAGGTACTAGAGATTGAGAAAGTGGATTGTTTACTTGAGGAAAGTCGATTGAGCATCACTGGATTTTTATTCTTTTGGTGCTTTCTGGCCGTGCAACCAAAAAATAGAAAAATAAGAATAAATATAACTTGGGAACTTTATTCGGTGATACAGGTTAAGACTGCTGACACAGGGTATATGTCTCGTAGACTTATGAAAGCTTTGGAAGACCTATCAATTCAGTATGACAATACAGTGAGAACTGCCAGTGCTTGCATTATTCAATTTATGTATGGCGGTGATGGTATGGATCCTGCACAGATGGAAGACAAATCTGGGCTTCCGCTGAACTTCGAAAGATTATTCATGAAAACCAAGGTATTAGCAATACCAATTTCACCCTCCCTTCGGAATATTATTATCTGCATTATTGTAACAATCATGGTAAATTATCATTCTTTTATTACAGGCTACTTGCCCTGCCATGGAGCAAAAGTTTCTAACTACCGAAGAAATTGAGAAAATAGTTGATGAAGTAATTGAGAAAAGGCTCTCAAGTCCTAAAACTCTTCAAGAGGGATCAGCGCAGGATGTTCCTTCTTCGGATAAGTCTGAGGGGTCCTTGGAAGCCTTTGAAAGCTCATTAAGAAATTTTGTTAAGAAGAAATATCCAAGCTCACTTCTCATGGAGAAATTGAATGGAAGGGTATATTCTGAAGAAGATCGTGTTCGGGTAGAAAATGTTGCTTCAAATGTATCAGGGATTACTAGGCAACAACTAGTGGTAATTTTCTTCTCCACACACACATACACACACAGACACAGTCTTATACTGGCAGTGTAAAAGTAAAAATCCTGCATCTTGGGCACGGTCGAATCTCTAATTTTATGACAAATGGCTTGAAAAAGAGTACAGCACGAGAAGAGAGTAAATGCCGGATATGATTTTGATTAGTTTCGTTGAGGGCTTTAGTGATTCAATATTAACCCCAGATGCATACAATTGATTATCTCATTAGAAATACTTTTAGTACTCTTAATTAATTTCCTTATTTATGTATTTATTTATTCTAGGTTTCCTTTTTCCAATATATATGAAACATTTTAGTACTCTTAATTAATACTCCCTTAAAATCTTTTATTTATTTTTGGCAACAATCTGAATTGAATTTGTGTTTGTTTGGGTATGACTTTAATTTCCCTGAATTTATTGTTAAAGGATGTGGTTAGACTAGACAGACAATCATTATGCAGATTATCTGCTTTGTTCGCAATTTTCGACTTCTTAATGTTCATGTGTGAATTTAACATCTGTGAGAGAGAATGGCTGAGAGAGAAAAAAAAAAGGTATCATTTCCTGAACTAAATTTTATGATTGTTATTCATGATAACAAATTCAACATAGAAATTTTATTTAAGTCATTATTTTATTAGTCGTGGAACATTATATGTTATGTGCGCACAGACACATTTATGTGTATATAATATATAATAGCCTTTGTGCGGGTTCATGCATGAGAAGATATCTGTTTAATGGTGTCCTATTCATTGTAAACAGAA